GGGGGGGGGGGGGGGGGATTAATGATTTTTAGGAGGAAAAAATAATGAATATTTGATACTTTGATACTTTGACACTTTGAAAGTATTAAAAAGAATAAAAAAATTTGACTTTAGATGTCCAATTTTAATTTTGTTTTCCTAGATTTTCGTTCATATATCAACCCCCATCGGTGATAAAGAAATAATAAAGGAAAAAATCAGTTTAACCAATCAAAATGGTCTTCAGGACCAGATCTAAGCTTTAATGGATACCGTTGTTAATCGGATATGCCACTCCTTAGATTGAGGGTAACTACAGATTATATAATTGTTCAGGTGTTTTGGATACTTAGCCTGGATGAAATCTGTGTACAAGGATAGAAATCTATATACAGCACTGGATGAGAACGAACAATTAGTTCTCAGGTACAGACTCTACTAATTTTTTACATTTTTTAGACATTTGTTGAATGATTGGTTGTCTGCTGATAACACTAATAATGTATTCAAATCATAGTCTTGGATTTATTTGTTGAAAAAAACAGAGATTATCAAAAATGTCTGAATTGTTGATTAAGTTTCCGCATAAAAAAAACAGTTTCAAAATACTTCTTGTGATTAAAAAAAATTAGTAAATCTTTTAAAAAAAATGACTTGAAACACAAAATGGGTCCTGATTAGAGCATATTGGGGGAACAAACTGGAACATGTCCAAACTGTAACACTTCATTTGCCCCCTGGGTTTTATTGTTTCCTGCCGAGTGTTTGTAGAGGGTATTAAAACATATTAAATACATTGAAGACGACTTTTCTTTTTAAGTTTTGATTTTTAGCGAGCTTTTGTCAGACTACAAGTTAAGTGCATCCATGCTGTTTGAAAGCTAGGTAGAAATCACAAATAGAAAGCGAAAGTCGTCTTCATTGTACTGATATTTTCGACGACGACTGTATTTGATAAATAGTATTAATTTTTTTTTAGAGAGAAGAAAACTAGATGGGATTAGTGAAGGATTAAACTTGAACAATAACTTGTAGTGAAGCTTAAACAGTAAAGTAAACAGTAAAATAAACAGTAAAGTAAACAGTAAAATACAGTGAATATGTCTGTAGATGATAGAAACAATATTCTAGAGTGGGTTAACAAGATGTTAACTTGTAGTAAGTCTGCCCCAAACAATCAGGTTCTGAAATTTGGAGTGGGGGTCGAGGATCAGAGTTGTGTGGAGCTGGTTTCCCAAGCTCCAAATCTCGAACATGATGATGTGATAAAAGAGCAGAGTTGTATGGAGCTGGTTTACCAGGCTATTTTGCGGATTTCTCAAGCTTGCGAACATGAATGTTTTTATATTTTGGAAATTCTAGATAATGCTAGGATTCCATCCCCCACCATTAGTTTGCCTCACCCCTGTGATATTTGCAAACAAGAGTTTTCATCCAAGAAGGAGTTAAAGCAGCACATGAAGATTCATAAAAAGTAAGTACGATTTATCTCAAATCTTCAGCTATTTTTTACATTGTTATATAAATATTAAATGTAGGTTTTCCTTACAATTTGTTTTGGGAGGAAATTAAATGATTGTGATCTGATTGCGTGAGTTTTTGTTTGATTTATGATTTATGATATAATTCAATGATTGTTTGATTTGATAATTAACATATCAATTGATTGATTGATAAATTTGGAAATGTTGTTAGGTAGATATATATTGTTTGAATATTTTTTGATTGATTGATTGATTTACATGTCACTTAGTTGATTGATTTGCAGGAGTGGGACGGTGCTTCCTGCGCCTGGCGGCGGTCTGGGGGGTTCATAACGGGGCCTCTTGTTCAGATTTCTTTTCAAATTAGTTCAAATTTGGAAATGATTATTGGTTGATATGGTTATTTTTAGATATTTTTTTCGATTGCCTGACTAAATAATTGATAAATTGATTTATTGGTTGATTGATTGATTGGTTGGTTGATTGGTTGGTTGATTGATTGATTGATTAGGGTGGAAAGGCCTGGGTTTGTCTGTAGTATCTGTGACCGAAATTGTTTCTCTACTGCGCGTCTACAACGACATCTTAGGAAACTTTAGTTCATTTGCTTCATTAAAAGTTATAATGAAATCAATTAATCAAATTCATCTATCTATATATAAATTTGGCTTGTCTGTCTGTTTGTTTGTTTGTCTGTCTGTTTGTATCCAATAAACGTCAAAACGGCTGAACCGATCGGGCCCAAATTTTTTGTGGGACATCTAGGGACCCCAGAGAAGGTTTATGAATGATCAAAATTTCAAACATTTGTCTCCATCAAAATTCGATCTTCATTAAATTTTTGAAAATTTTGAAATCCACGAAAATTTTTGTGAAAATCCGCGAATTATTTTTGTTTTGTTTTACGATGTACACAAAGAGAACATGTTCACAATTAATTTAGAAGATGGGCGCGAAGCGCCCTATAAGTCTAGTTATTAATATTCGAGTTTTCAGTTTATTTTTGTTAAAAGTAAATATTTATATGGAATATTCATTCCATATCCAGAGAATGATTTTAATGACTTAAATAAAAAAAATTTAATTTTCTAATTCCCACAAGATGGTGTCTGAACTGATTTTAACATCTAGAACGCATACAGGACTGAAACCATTTGTGTGCGAGGATTGTGGGGCCCAATATCAGGTAATTAGAATTGCGGGGCCCAATTACGAATATGTACAAAGCTTTTTAATGAAAAATGAAGAAAAATTCTTTTTGAAATTAATAAATAAGATAAATTTATGTCACTGTCCCTTATCTTTTCGTAATATAGTTAGGACACTGTAATTCATTGTTTTGAGAGAAAACAAATTTTGTACTCGATGTTTTGGAATTGATCCAAGGAAGCAAAAATGTTGCGGATCCGGATGTCGAGCACTCCATTTAAGCCGAAATCCGTTATTTAAAGCCGAAATCCTCCAAATCCATTAAAGCCTAATTCCTCTAAATCCATTAAAGCCTAAATCTTCTCAATCCATCAAAGCATAAATCTTCTCAACCCATTAAAGCCTAAGTCTTCTAAACCCATTGTTAACCTTGCAGCAGCTGAATGACCTTGTTCGACACCAGCGGAAGCACTCGGGCAGTCTAGGCGGGGTGCGCTGTACTGTGCAGGGATGTGGAAAGCTGCTTGGTACAAATAATGCTCTTACTGTACATAACAGGTAGTGTTGGTAACTTGAAATTTTTAAAATCTACATCTTAATTTTTGTTCAGAATTCATACTGGAGAGAAATCATATTTCTGCAAAACCTGTAGCAAAACATTCAGAACCAACTCCTCTCTCAGGTTGGCTGGTTGAATAGTTGGTGAGATTGTGGTCGGGTTGGTTGGTTGTTTTGTTGGTTGGTTGATTCGTTGGTTGGATGGTTGGTTGGTTTGTGGGTTTGTTGGTTTGTTGGTTTGGTTTATAACTTTATTGATTGGGTGGTGGTCTGGTTATTTGGTTTTTTGTTAGTTGGTGGGTTTTGATTCACGAAGCTATTGTTGTGTTGACTGGTAAGTTGGTTGGTTTGTTCGTTCGTTTGGTTTGTTGGCGTGTTTGTTTGTTGGTAGGTTGGTTGGTTGGTTGGCTGGTTGGTTTGTTGATTTATTTTATTTTAATTTCAGACGTCATAACCTGATACATACTGGAGATAGACCTTTTCACTGCACGGTATGCCACAAGTCATTCCAGGTATTAAAAGAAAATTGATTTAAGCAGAGTTTTTTACACGTTTTTTTTCGGTATTTTGATACGTCTCCATGAAAAATATAAAGATTTTAAGAATTATTTCCTTCTTTTGGTAAAAGTTCTGATAAAACCCCAAAATGGGAGATCATACTGAGTTTCTTTCAGACTTCGAGTCATTTGAAAGAGCATATGAAGATTCATCGTGGACAGGCGAAGACAGTTTTAATGTCCGAGCCGGTCAACCCGGTACAACCTCAATCTCTACCTGTACTTGGAGAAGTAAAATGATCTATTAGGGAAATAAGAATCCTAAAGCTGTGAACTTCATATATAATGTTTTTTTATTACATGGCGCAGTAAATATAACACAATTTCAATAACCAGTATCCAAAAAGAAATAGGTTAAAATCTCCTAAACATGCAATTTCAAAATTTTTGTAGAATGATGAGTACTCAGGGTAGTTGAAGTTGAGGAAAACTCTTGAGAAAAGTGTGATATATTTAGACATAATATCTGTATAAATATTTATATAACTATTTTACTACCTAATACAGCTAAATTGAACTCCAACAGTTGCAGGAGAATGCAAATTACTAATACCTAATCAACTAATTGCAGAAAAATGTAATTCAAGAAAGAATCTGTGTGTGGGGTAGGAACATGAATTCAAACAAATCACATAAGGTAACAAAAATATATATTTTGTTTCTTGTTTTTGAAAGGAATATTTGTAAATAAATTGTTAAATATAATTTTTTATTATTTTGTTTCACATTTTATTTTGAATTCTCGACTCACAACAGTACCATTAAAATATATTTTCTAACCCGTTTCGTTTGTGCTGTTTTCCAGTCACACTTTATTGTAAGAGTCTCACGCTTAATACTCTTTAAACCATTATTCTATTACCTATGACAAAGGTATTGACGTTTAATTCTCTCAATTTCCTATCTTGTCTCTGCTGCATAAATCCGGAATTCACCTTTGTAAATAAAATTAAGTATTAAAAAATGATTTCTTATTTTTTCTTCTTCTCATTTTTAAGGAGTTAAATTGTTTACCGGGTAAAGAAGATTACTTCGACAGTAACTTTAAATTTAGGACTAAATATTTAGGACGGAGGCCAGGGAGAATAAAGGAGGATGTTACCTAACCCCTCCCCTGGAGGAGGGGACCATGGAGGTCAGGGAGGTCAAGGAGGACCAGGAGGAGGTCAGGGGGGAAACCAGGATTGGAATTCAGAGGAGAGTCTCGTTAAACTAAAGGGACTGTTCATTCCGGCGCTGCAAAAGGTAAACAGAAAGTGTGTTGCATTCAAACAATTTTGTTCGATTTAAAGGTCATATAATGTTTGTTTTTGGTAAGAACTACGTCGGTGGTCAGTAGTCACCCACTAGAGGACGGNGGGGGAGCTATTCTGATCTTAAATTTCGTGAAGATCGACACAGGCTTGCGCTTTTGAATAAGATGTATTTCACTTGTAGCTTCTATTATTGGAATATTAAAGAATAGCTTCACAACCCAGTGTTGCCCAGGGTATTTATATTACTCCCGCCGTTTTCCAGCGCTTAGTCGTAAATTACGATTTTAGCTATTTTTCCTTATAAAAGTTGACCCACTCAACTGAGAATCTCAAAACAAAACTAAGAACATTCTCGGTTCCCCAAGCAAAATTTGAAGCTAATCGGTCATGGGGTTCGTGAGTTGTAATCCGATATACAAAGAAACAGACAAACCGAGATTACACTTTTATATTTATGGAAGAAGATTTCATTACTTGCTTTCCACTATAGGCTCGAAGATTCCTTAGTTCTGATTGGTCCAATTTAACTAATATTATCTTATGAGGAAACAATGGATAAGTTTCCTGCTCATGTTTCAGAAAAAAGTATATTTTGATTCATTCTGCTTATTTGTCTTAAATATTGAATAAAAATTTGTATTTTAATCTGCAGGTGCTGACACAAGTTCATCCTAATCTGGCAGCCAAGGACGAATCCCTGGAATACGTAGAATCCTTGATCCTCAAACTACTCGCTATGCTCACGTCAAAACCTGCTCCTTTAAGTGTACAGGTACAGTCCCCTAGCATAATTTAGTAAGAACCAAAAATCTAAGAAGACGTCATTATAGCAATGCTTGTGTATTTAATGTTGCTACAATGAAGATGACTAAAAAAATACAACAATCAAAAGTTTTGGTCCAATTCATTGCACTAAATTGTAATTTAAAAAGTTACGAGTTTTACTATGAAGTATGAACAATATGATGAAAATATTTAATCTTGTACCTCCTTCATAACTCTAATATGTAAACATTCCATTTAGGGATGTTGACTCAAATATGTAAACATTCCATTTAGGGATGTTGACTCAAATATGTAAACATTCCATTTAGGGATGTTGACTCAATTATGTAAACATTCCATTTAGGGATGTTGAATCAAATTTGTAAACATTCCATTTAGGGATGTTGACTCAATTATTTAAACATTCCATTAAAGGATGTTGACTCAAATATTTAAACATTCCATTTAGGGATGTTGACTCAAATATTTAAACATTCCATTTAGGGATGTTGACTCAAATATTTAAACATTCCATTTAGGGATGTTGACTCAATTATATAAACATTCCATTTAGGGATGTTGACTCAAATATGTAAACATTCCATTTAGGGATGTTGACTCAATTATGTAAACATTCCATTTAGGGATGTTGAATCAAATATGTAAACATTCCATTTAGGGATGTTGACTCAATTATTTAAACATTCCATTTAAGGATGTTGACTCAAATTTGTAAACATTCCATTTAGGGATGTTGACTCAAATATTTAAACATTCCATTTAAGGATGTTGACTCAAATATTTAAACATTCCATTTAGGGATGTTGACTCAAATATTTAAACATTCCATTTAGGGATGTTGACTCAAATATTTAAACATTCCATTTAGGTATGTTGACTCAAATATTTAAAAATTCCATTTAAGGATGTTGACTCAAATATGTAAACATTCCATTTAAGGATGTTGACTCAAATATTTAAACATTCCATTTAAGGATGTTGACTCAAATATGTAAACATTACATTAAAGGATGTTGACTCAAATATGTAAACATTCTATTTGAGGATGTTGAGGAGAGAGTTCGGAAAACGTTTCCAACTCCGATAGATAAATGGGCACTGACCGAGGCCCAGACTGCTGTGGGCAAAGGCCGGAAGAAATCTGATCTTGTGTTGCCAGTTGACAAAATTCATGTCATTCTTTGCAAAGAGGTTCTTCAGAATAAACAAGAGGTAATAAACAAAAAGACTTTTTATTTTTGGAACGTTAAAAGTAAGCTTTCAAAAAATTTCCTGTTTGAGAATAATAATCTATTGTATTAGAAAGTTGAATTGACTAAACCGATGGTATATATTTTAATGTTGTTAATATTTAGTAAATTGAAAATAGGCAGTGATGTAATCATCAAGTTTTTTAAAGTCATTCAGTTTTTTATAATGTTTTAATTCTTCTTTTATTTTGAAAATTTGGTCGTCCCTTTTTGATAGTTTTAACCAAAAAAAAAGTTATTTACGATTAAAGGTTTTATCCCCAGTCCATGATAAAACACCTTAAAATTACAAAGAAACTGTTTATGTACAATCCTGTTTACCCTTGTAAACCTGTACAATCCTGTTTACCCCTGTAAACATGTACAATCCTGTTTCTCTTTGTAATTATAACCTTGAGGGTTGAATCCTAGACTTCTAATTAGTTCGGTTGCACGGTTAATCAGATCAGTCAACAATTAAAACCAATTATAATATGTTTATTAGATAAACGGTAGGCCATCTTTTAGTTACATATTGTTTCAGAAAAATTAAAACTGCATGATAAAAAATCACAAAAAAAATAATTTTCAAAGATTTTCAGGAGAAAACTATACTTGTACTTTCTAGAAATTCGATCTAAACATTTATCGTCGTCGTATATTTACATTGTGGACGAATTTAGATTTTGATTTTTGATTAAATAAAAAATTAAATAGGAAAGTCGTCTTCATAAAAACGCCAACCACTGTAAAAAAAGATTGTCTTCCTATCCTTTTGCCTCTTTTTTAAATTACTCAAAAATGTTGAATTTGGGAATATATATATATATATGTTGGGGGTCCTTTGAAATTACACCTACAGTCCCTTTAAAAGCCAGAACAAATATCATTATTAGTTGATCATATATATTAGAGTGATAAACCTTTTATTCGGTAAAATTCTTTTTAAAAAATGTTAAAATAATTCACACCTTAAATGTCATTTGCCTTAAATTTCCCCNGTTTCTCTGTACATAGTTGCAGTACTAGAGTACATATCTGCTGATATATTGAAACTAACTGGAAACTATATTAAACAAATGCGAAGAATGCAGATTTCCTGTGAAGATATCAAGGTAGATTACAGGGTTTTCTACTAAACATGATAATGGAATTTAAAAATCGTCTTGTATCTCTGCTATTTATTTTATGTTCAGAAAATGGCTTTACAAAATATGTAGATTAAAAGTGAACAAAACATTAGATAACCTTGGGGTTCTCAAATAAATCAAACACTGAAATTAGTTTTCCGGTAATATTGAACGCATTTAATAGGCAGACCACACTTAAAAAATACCAGGGCGAGTAATATTTTATGATAATTGCTTTAAGAATTATAAAATTAGGTTCACATTTGACTCAACTAACTTTTTCAAGAAGACGATATATCTTTCTCATGTTTATTGGTGAACTCTGTATGTAAAACAATAACAAATTTATTATGTTTAAGAAAGGATGAAACAGTTCTTATCTTATCCGAATGTTTGATTGTCTGATTATTCGACCATTTGACTATTGAACTATTGAACTATTCGATCGTTCGATTCGAATATTTGTTTATTCGAGCGTTCTATTATTAATTTATATGATTATTTGAGTATTCGTTTATTATATCGTTCTTTTATTCGTTCGACTTTTCGATTAAATTCGTTTTTTTTCACTATTTGACTCTTAAATCGTTTGAAATTATACTTTAAACTAACTAGAGTATTTGAAATTTCAACTTTTCAATTATCTCATCATTTGAATTTGATAATTCGACTATTTTACCATTCTTTATTATGTCCCGACCGTTGTTTGATTAATCGATTTTAGTTCGACTGATCAAATTTTATTCGACTAATCAAAACAATAAAAAAATTCCAACGTTTTTATCAATGTATCAAATGCAAAAAAAATTATTTCAAAATAGGAAGTGATCAAGAAATAAAACTGTTGTACAATTTCTATTTTTATTTTAAAAAAATCAAAGAAAATCAATGTATGGAGAATGAAGTTCATCTACTGCAGGGGAACCTTTTTTTTTTACCCCGAGCTGGCCCTCTAGAACGACCTCTCCCTTGTTCTTGTCTACGACCTCTTGCTTTGACACCTGGTCGTCTCTTCGCCTCCCCTTTCCTTCTAGGATAACTTCCCACTCTGAACAACACGTATTCCATCTACCAGGACCTGCTGGACCTTCTCTTTGGTGATGGTTGCAAGTTAGAGCAGTACTAGCTCACAACTTTCATCAACTTTTGGTATATTTTACAATTTCATGGCTAACTAAGCATCAAACAAGTTATTTTCCCAAAGTTTTTCCCTTATCTAGCTGGAGATCCAAATATTGGAGTTTAAACACAGTCATGTTTGTTTTAATCTTTAAAAGCTCACTGGCACGAGCAACACCAGCAGTCTCAGGAGTTTACCAGAACCACCGGGAATGCTACCAGAAGTGTCAAAGACAGATACAAGAAACATCAGGACTGCTGCTGCTGCCAGAAGCATCAGGGCTGCTGCCAGAAAAATTAGGGCAGCTACCATGAGCATCAGGACTGCTTTTGTTATGGAAAATTTAGTAAATTTTTTTAGAGCTACTAGAAGCATTTGGACGGGTACCAGAATCGTCAGGACAGTTATTAGGGCATCAGGACAGCTAACAGAAGCGCCGGTCCTGAAGAGTACGGGAATCGAACCCGTGAACACCCGTGCTTTACTTCAGTGAGCTAATGAAAACTGGTATAACACACTCCCCACCCCATGACACAAATATATATATTGAAACTAATATTTAGGTTTCTCAGTACATAGTTGCAGTACTTGAGTACATATCTGCTGATATATTAAAACTATGGTTAGGTTTCTCTGTACATAGTTGCAGTACTTGAGTACATATCTGCTGATATANTGATTATTTGAGTATTCGTTTATTATATCGTTCTTTTATTCGTTCGACTTTTCGATTAAATTCGTTTTTTTCACTATTTGACTCTTAAATCGTTTGAAATTATACTTTAAACTAACTAGAGTATTTGAAATTTCAACTTTTCAATTATCTCATCATTTGAATTTGATAATTCGACTATTTTACCATTCTTTATTATGTCCCGACCGTTGTTTGATTAATCGATTTTAGTTCGACTGATCAAATTTTATTCGACTAATCAAAATTTGTTCGACTTAAATTGTTCGACTATTGTCCGACTGTTTGAATATTCGACGGTTATCCGACTACTTGAATAGTAACCGTCTATTCGACTATTGTTCGACAATAATAAAAAAAACGATATTTTACTTTTTGATGTACAGAGAAAAAAGGCGAATTAAAAACTTAAAATTGTTGATTTATTGCTAGGTTGCTATCTGTGCTGACAAGGCCCTGATGGACATGTTCTACCAGGAGGAGGTGAGCAGTGAGGAGCATGGGGTCGGATACCTCAGGAACAGACCAGCACAGACCTACGACGAGGTGGTCAAGGACCTTATCCTCAAGGAGAAATCATATCTCCGGGATCTAAATATGATCACTAAGGTAAATATTAACCTTCAATTAAAACATATAGTGCTACCCATAAAAATGTGGATTATGCAGAGGTGTGTATTTTTCTCGAAAAATCATTTCACCCCCATCATTCTTTCCCCAGAATATATGTATTTTATTATGCTTTTATTTGCTGAATCGGGAAAAATGTGGGTGTAATAATAAGAATGCTTAAAGTTGATTTTTGATGTTAAATTGTGTATCCCCCCTACTCATGAAAACAAAAAATCAAAAATTATCTCCGGGGTAATTCTGAAAAATATTCGTTGCTGGTATATTTGATGTTTTTAGCTTCACCAGTAGCTTGAAAATCAACTTATTTACCAAATGGTTGTGTCAAAGTTTAACGTAGTTTGTGACATCGTAAAACGACGTTTGTGACCCAATTTAACGATGCCGACAGTACATTTTAACGATGTTTTGGCACTTCTTTGAAAAATTACAGGGTGGCCAAAATGTACGGATTGTACGGATTGATTTTTTTTAACCCTAAAATTGTACGGATTGTACGGATTGTATGGATTTGTTNAAAAAAATTGTACGGATTGTACGGATTGTTTTTCGAAAATTGTACGGATTGTACGGATTTCTTCTGAAAATGTACGGATTTTTGTACGGATGGGTTCAAAAAAGTTTCGGCCACCCTGAAATTATGTAAATGTCACAATTTAACGATGTTGTATGTCTGTTTATTGTAGAATACAAAACATTTTGTCGATCTTTTCAGCCGAGTTTAACGATATTTGTGACACTTACTTATGTCTGTGACACAAATTTTAATTTAACGATTTAAATGTCGAAATTATACGATGTTTCTCTGTGACAGATTCTAAACAGCTTACCGGAAATTTTGATTAACGATGTTTGTAGCACAATTAACGATGTCTGTTGGTATGTTTACAAAACAGTATAAGCAAATTGTAACGATGTTATTGGCACAATGTAACGCGCGCTGTTTTCTAGCAAATTTTAACAATGTTAGTAAAACAGCTTCCCGATTGTCATGACCTAAACGATCTCTGTACCGTAATTTTACCATGTCTTTGAAACGGTTTACCGAAAATTGTGACACATCGATGTCTTTGTGTCAGGTGTTCAAGCAGCAGATTCTGAAGTTTGCGAGGCCCGAGGAGATAGACGCCATCTTCTCCAACATCACCGACATCGTCGAGCTGACAGTCAATCTGATCAGCAGCTTAGAGGACACTCTAGAGATGGCGGAGGAGGGGCAGGTAGGTCGGAGTGGGAGGGCAAGTAGGTGGGAGGAGAAGGGCAGGTAGGTTGGTGGGAGGAGGGAGTGAAAGTAGGCGGGTGATGGGGAAGTGAAAGTAGCGGGAAGGAAAAGGGGAAGTAGGCGGGAGGGGAAGGGAAAGTATGCGGGAAGTAAAGGACAAGTAGGCGGGAAGTAAAGGGCAAGTATATTGAAACAATAATATTGTGCAGAGGAGGATTAATTTTATTAACATTGCATACATTCGTTTATTTGGAATAAATGAATATCTAATTAAACGGAAAATAATAATGAAGATAGAAAAGCAAATGTTTGGAATTTAGATAGATTTAATTCCTTCATTCCTCCAAACAGTTTTATGGGTTTCATTTGTTAAACAGATTTTATTATGCTCTGTAATGATGATCCTTAATCAATCAAAGGTGACCGCTGTTGGACCTTGTTTCGAGGAGTTAGCCGAAGCTGAAGAGTTTGCTGTTTACGAGAGATTTACAAGAGAGGTTCTAAGTCCTGTATCCAGTCAATACCTTACTACTTTACTTAGTAAACCAGAGGTTAGTGTAGTCCTGTATCCAATACCTTACTACTTTACTTAGTAAACCAGAGGTTAGTATAGTCCTGTATCCAGTCAATACCTTGCTACTTTACTTAGTAAACCAGAGGTTAGTGTAGTCCTGTATCCAATATCTTACTACTTTACTTAGTAAACCAGAGGTTAGTATAGTCCTGTATCCAATCAATACCTCGCTACTTTAATTAGTAAACCAGAGGTTAGTATAGTCCTGTATCCAATCAATACCTTGCTACTTTAATTAGTAAACCAGAGGTTAGTATAGTCCTGTATCCAATCAATACCTTGCTACTTTAATTAATAAACCAAAGGTTAGTGTAGGCCTGTATCCAATCAATACCTTGCTAATTTAATTAGTAAACCAGAGGTTACTGTAGTCCTGTATCCAGTCAATACCTTACTACTTTACTTAATAAACCAAAGGTTAGATAGTCCTGTATCTAGTCAATACCTTGCTACTTCACTTAGTAAACCAGAGGTTAGTGTAGTCCTGTATTTAATACCTTACTACTTTACTTAGTAAACCAGAGGTTAGTATAGTCCTGTATCCAATCAATACCTTGCTACTTTAATTAGTAAACCAGAGGTTAGTGTAGTCCTGTATCCAGTCAATACCTTGATACTTTAATTAGTAAACCAGAGGATAGTATAGTTTAGTTTAGTATCCATTTTGGATATCACAAAGGTGTTGCATGTTGTATACAAAATTCTGAAATACTAAAGATTTAAGAAGAATGTTCTGGAAAAAATCTCAATCCTTGATGCAAGCTTAAAATCGTCATTTTCCTATAAATTGATATACTAGGTGTCAGAGAAGTTGCAGTCCTCAGGTCATGGATTCCGAGAAGCTGTGAAGTTTTATTTTCCCAAACTTATCCTTGGTCCTGTTTTACACTGCTTCCATTACTTTAAGTATATTGAGCTCCTGACTAAACTATCTCCGAACAAAGAGGATCAGGATATATTAAAACAGGTAGATATTTACCCTCATCATCACTTCCCTCATCCACTTACAATTATACACCCTCATCCCCTTCTCCAACAATCACCTCCACTAATTTTCTCCTACAACAATCCCGTTCTCCAACAACCCCATCCTCCAACAATCCCATCCTTCAATAATCCCCTCCTTCAATAATCCCCTTTATCAAATGAATGGTATAACTTATAGATGCACATTACTTGTATGTGAAGTAAATCATGAAAAAAAGTTAGAAAAAAAAATATTTTTTAATTTAAACATTTCTACAAACCTTTCTAAACTCTACTTGACGTTTATTCACGCCACACAGTTAGATATTGAGACGCTTCGTTTATCTTTAATGGAGGATCGTAGATATTAAACATGGTCATCGGTCAGTTGACCGGTGCTGCGAGTCTAAAACCCGATTTTTTTTTGATCCGGACTTGATCGGTGTAAATACTGGGATTATCTCTGGATTATTTTTTAAAACCCGGTCTTAAACTCTCATCACGGCTTTACTTTCTTCCTTCTTTTTGATTCTCCCTGTTTGATCCAGGTTGCAGCGATGTTAACTCCTCTACACAACCGACTGAGTTCTGCGTGCGCAGTCAGCAATGCGCTTGGTCCAGTCGGGGCTGGCGTGCACAAAGCGACCGATGTCTTTCACAGGTAGGATTTAGTTTTATATTTTTGTCAAGTTTCAATTTTAAAGTGAGATTCTATAATTATATTTATTAAATGATAAAGAACTGTGAGTGTAAATGGATTGACCCTTCATGCAAAGATGGCAATGGTATGGTACCCTTGAAACCTTTACCTGATCAATAATTTAGAAGATATTGTCGTTTTTCGAGGTTTAAACGTGTTTTTTTTACCTTTTGTTTCAGTTGTAGAATTACGCAAAAGACGTTTTAAATTGTCAACTTTTATTTAAACTCTAAAATGACCATTATAAGATTCATCATCTGCTTCGTGTCGGGTAATGTCCACGATTTATATGCTTAAATAAAATGTACATGTGAAAAAATGTCAAACAAGAAATATAGACTATTTAAATGTCCGTTTTCAGATGTTTAATCGACAAAGGCCTGTTATAAAAAGTAAGATTAAAGAAATTTGATACAATATGTTGCCTATAAAATGCTATTTGGTCCAATAAGAAAATCCACTAAGTCATCTATTCTATATTTTATACTTTTAATGTTTGTAGGTACGGGCCTGGTCGACAATCACGACAACAGTCGCTGGTTCGACTGAATCAGCTACAGCAGACTATTGCCGGGTGGGAGGGGAAGGATATTGTCGCTAACTCATCTGAGATAGTATACGAGGGCAAACTAAAAGTTGGGACCGACCGCAAGAAGTTGAAAGAGAGGTATGTAATCTTGAAATTAACTAAGTAATTGTATAGTGAAATGTAATTCTAAAAGCTTATCTGTTAAAATGAAGCCTTAACTATCGGCGAAATCATCCTATTCCTTTATGTTTGGATGTGAAATGCGCGCTTTCTGCTTACAAAAATCCCCAAAAATGTCCAAAAACGTTGAATTTGCAAAAATAATGGTTTACTGACACATCATGTGACCGCATGGCGCGCGTGTTACGTGCCTAAACAGTTTATCTCAGTGTTGGAAAATGATCCCGATGGAACAGGTGTGCAGCTGGTTACTCCAGCTGTTCACTAGCAACAGTAGTACTTCTTCAAGCTTTATGTTCTAACCTCAAAACCTTATAGTGGGACCAATAACACTGTGGAATAGAAAGACGACATTTTAGGAATTAACGAGTATTTAATGTCGTTACAATGGAAAATGTGGTACCGATACATTAAACATCGATTCATTAAGTGAAATGAGTTTGTGAACACTGCAATATTTTGGGTTTTGTGTAAATCGCAGGGAAAGAAAAAAAAAGTTTTTTTTTTAACCAGCCCAGTATTTTTTGAGGGGTATTATTGTGTTTAATTGGGGTTTTCAATTTAAACGTGGCTTAACCCTTTCAAAACATACTTATTTATACTAATAAGACTATCTATTGAAGCAATAGGTGAAATTTATAGTTATGAAAAATAATATTTTTTTTTGTGATAGCCTATCACTGATAGGTTATAGTTATATAAAAATAATCAAAATTTAATATGTAAATATAGGAATGAATCTCTGAGTAGGTCTATTTTTTGCTTAGATATATATTATATGTTCAATGAGAAAGACCATTGTTAAATACTGAAATACTTTTTATAAGAGTATGTTGTGGAGTTATAGAAGATACAGGGTTACCATCAAAGGATGAGACTGTAAAGACGACCGGAAACTCTTGAAATATGAAGTCCCCAAGTGAATTATATTTACCAATTCTGTCTGAGATAAAGTAACCTAATGGCTTATTTAATGATTCGGCAAATAAACTAAAAGTTTATAGTTGCAGGGAATCGTAAATGGAAGGAAACAGACAGTATACATTTCGTACAGTCGTCTATGAAGTCTCATCCTTTGTGGGCGTGGTTACCCTTGTACTTGAAATTATAAAAATAAATGCAGATGATAAATTTCTACAATGGGATTTGTTTGGTCTAAAACCAGAAACCGCTTTGGTGCCCAGAAAGCTGTAAAACTAGCAACTGTACACAGGGCCCTTCGGCCTCAGAGTAGGTAAAATGCTATCTACTGGAGAATAGAATTACTAGTATAATTCATTCATTTTGTTCGGAATAAAATCATTGTTGAAACAATATTCCTTTAGTAAAGATTATATGTTTTAGTCATCTGCACATAGTTAATAAATAAATGTGTCAGTTTTAGTGTTGTAAACTCGCAGGTAATAAATATCATTAAAAGTTGGCCACATTTCTTAAAGAGTTTATTAATAAAAAATTAAGTAAAGGCTAAGACTAGGAGAGGGGTGGGGTGGGGTTTTAGCTGTTTTTTTATGATAACCCAGGACTTCATCAGAGTATTAAGAATCACAAATTTGGTTCTAACAGACGTTTTTCTATTCCACAGTTGTATAGGTCACACCATACTTTAAATACTTCAGTTATTTCTCAAAATACTTTAAATACAAAGGAAATTAATTCCAAAACTAACACTTGACCCAATTCTAACACTGTATGTTAGAAATGGGTCAAATCTGCAAAGTTATCTGTTCCAAGAGTATATATGATATCTTAAACAAAACCACACTATACACTATACAGTATACATTTACAAAAAATGGCTAAAACTATATATTTAAACGAAGGATTACTAATAATATTGTTCATGTTCTAGATATGTAATCCTATGTGACGGATTATTAATAATATTGTTTATGTTCTAGATATGTAATCCTATGTGACGGATTATTAATAATATTGTTTATGTTCTAGATATGTAATCCTATGTGAAGGATTATTAATAATATTGTTTATGTTCTAGATATGTAATCCTATGTGAAGGATTATTANCAATATGGAGGAGAGGATCTCCGTGATGCAGAGAATACTGGAGATCATGATGGTGTTACAGGTAGGAATAAAAATACTCGAGCTCATAACAGGTAGGGATAAGAGAGATCATGAGTTTCGCGAAACAATAAAAAAATACCGGAGAACATAATAGTGATTTACAGCGGTTTTTTATTCAATTTTAAATAGAAGTTTTCTATTAAAAATTACTCATGGGAGACATTTTAAAATGAAGGGGTAGTCTTTTGATTAATCTCTTAAGCAGACTAAAATTGGCAATTTGTTGCCAAAACTTCAAATTGGCAATTTGTTATATTATAAATTGTCAGCTGTTGTTGGTCGTAGTCTTTTTTCTCTTTATATTTTAATTTAAGCATTAAAAATATACATATTTGGGAGACCAATAAACCACTTCTTCTCTCTTAAATCGTTATAATTTCAATTTAATTGTTTTATCCAATTGAATTAAATTTGCAAATTAAATATTTTAAGATATTTAAGTTTTCAACATATGTTGGATTGTTAATCCTATTTTTACGATTTTGCTAATACTAAAATTACCAGTAATAAAAGAGTTCTATTCAAATCTCTGTCTAAATACAGATTTAGTCTGAACATTAAGATTTTTATTGGCAAAGTATTTTTTTAATTTTCCTTGTTCATTTAATTGAATTTCAAACATTTTCTCGATAAAATAATTTAATTTGTATTAGGTTCTAATGTAGGTTATTTCTCGTATTCAGTTTAGCTTTTAAAATGTTACTTTACATTCAACCATTTTTTTAAATTTATAAAAAAATCTCAAATTTTAATTTTAATAAAAATCTTGGTGGATATCCATTTTTTGGGGGCCCTTTTTTGTTATCTTATTTGCCCTTTAAGTTTTCCATGGGGTCACATGAGGTAACACCAACAAAAAAATATCTATTTATTTTTGGGTATTTTTCAAGGATACGTCAGGATGGATGGAAACGCGGCACAAACTTCATTAAATGGCAGATTGTCTTTTTACAATATTAATAATAATAATAATAGTAATAATAATGATGATAATAATGATAATAATAATGATAATAATAATAATAATTAATAATGATAATAATAATAATAATAATAATAATAATAATGGTGTTAATAATGATAATAATAATAATGATAATAAATATATCCAATGTATATTGAAATTTGACAGACATATATTCGAACTCTGTCAGCGGGATCAGCAGAGAGTTATATTCAAATGTGAGAGTATGGAGGATAAGAACGACTGGATGGCGGCCCTAGTGATGCTAAATACTAAAAGTATGCTGGAGAGAACCCTGGATGTTATTCTCTCAGACGAGGAGAATAAGCATCCTCTCCGTCTACCTGACCCTAGTCTGTATAGGTATTATTATTATTATTATTGTCATTGTTGGCATTGTTGAACTAGTGAGTTCATTTCGATTTTAACAGTCTGATTTAATTTGATTTCATTTGATTTGTTGTCATTGTTATCATTGCTGTCATTTTGTCATTTTAGTCAATGTTTTCATTGTTACTATTGCTATCATTGTTACAATTGCTATCATTGTTACAATTGCTATCATTGTTACAATTGCTATCATTGTTACAATTGCTATCATTGTTACAATTGCTATCATTGCTATTATTGTTTTAATTTGTTTAAATGTCAGTTGATTTGAAGTTGGAGCCGGTTTGTTTTTATTTACTCTGGCGTATTAGTACTGCTCAGAAACTGGTTTGTTGAGATTAAACATCAATCCGAAATTTGTGTTACAATTTTTATTATTGTTTTGTTATTATTATTAAAGGACAACCCATCATTCAATGAAATAGGGTTCGGCGCTCCTAACCGTCGAAACAACGTATCCACGGGGTTTGCAACCTAGGGAGAAGACTTATACTAGGCGATCCGCCCGGGACAGCTCCAGTTTGGAGACTCTCCAATTACTAGGCGATCCGCCCAAGACAGCTCCATTTTTGTTAAAACTAGTTTTAAGCACTAAGCAGTCCTAAGACGTCATAGTAAAATATAAACAACCAGAATCCTGCCCTCTTTCTGTTAGTCCTACTCATGTTGATTTTCGCCAATTTCATTTTAAAACATTGAATTGACTGACTGGTCCATATTATTCCATCCAATGGTATCCCAAATAAATGTTGATTGATATGTAAAAAATTGTATATAAGTTCTATGTCAAATTGTAGAAAAATTCCATGCTTCAGAATGTATACTTAAAGGAAGTGTTTATTTTACTGTTAAATATATTAATTACTGATATTTAAATATACTTTAAATTATTATATTATCTTGATTATTATAATTGATTTAATTATTTTAGTAATTCTTTTATTATACTTGTCCAATAAAGTTGTTTTTATGAAAACTATTTTAGGTTTGGTGAGCTTGACTCTGCTCATAATATTATATTTGAAGAGCGGGAGAAGAGCAGTGGAGTCCCGATTATTAAAGGAGCAACCCTTATCAAACTAGTGGAGAGACTTACATATCATTTATACGCCACACCGGTATTCATGAAAACATTTCTCACAACTTACAGGTCTTTTTCTACACCTAAGGAGCTGCTTGATCTTCTTATCGACCGATTCAACATCCCGGAGTTTGATCAATCCGACAAATCCCGTCGATTGCGGTTTGTCCAGGATGAGAAACGGTTCCGGAAGGAATATGTTCAACCCGTTCAGTTTCGAGTGCTCAACGTGCTCAAGCACTGGGTTGATCAACACTTTTACGATTTCGACGAGGACATTGATCTCCTGCACTGCCTCACCTCCTTTCTGGACAAGATCCAGGGCAGGTACATGAGGAAGTGGGTGGAGAACATCAGCAAGTTGGTGCAACGCAGGCTTGATAACGACGAGGGACAGAAGGATATTCAGTTCAACTTCGACCGATCCCCGCCACCTATAGAAATTCATATAAAAAATCCGCAAGAAGATTGGCCACTGATCATGACGTATCATCCCATAGAGATTGCTAGACAGCTTACAATCATAGAGTATCAGCACTACAGGTACAGTATATTTTTCATCTGGTGTACTTTCCCGTTTTCTATTCTATAATTCTACAAAAGCCTCTCCGGCCGTGTTTGGGCACTGATAGTTTGATAGTTTCTAGTAAAAACTTTTTAAGAACATGTACTTTCCCGAGCGAAATGGAAAAAATGCCTCTTAGATACTTCTCACTTAAAAACTATCCACTCGGAAAATTGCCATTCCACTAGTAAAAAACTAACTATTACTAATCATGTGTTCAGGTCTGTAAAACCGAGTGAGCTGGTGGACCTGGCCTGGACAAGAGAAGACAAGGATAAACGGTCTCCGAACCTTCTCAAGATGGTTAGACATACAACCAACTTTACAAGGTAAAATATCTATCAATCAATTAATTTATTAAAGGGACTGTAAGTGTAAACGTACTTTCAAATTTCATGTTACCCAACATCTGTGTAATTAGTGCTTAAACTAATACACTTGTCCTATCTGTGCTCTCAGTGTTATCTGTGCTTAATCTGCGTAATTTTTGCGTAAACTTGTTTTCTTGTCCTATTTTTTTTTAATCTTTTCTCATGTCCTATCTGTTTAATCAATGCATAAACTACTTTCCTTGTCCTATCTGTTAAATCTCTGATCAACCTAGTTCTCTCGTATTAACTGTGTAATCTGTGGTTCAAGGTATCTGGAGAAAACGATCCTGATCGCTGACAATATGGAGGAGAGGATCTCCGTGATGCAGAGAATACTGGAGATCATGATGGTGTTACAGGTAGGAATAAAAATACTCGAGCTCATAACAGGTAGGGATAAGAGAGATCATGAGGGTTACAGGTAGGGATAAAAATACTGGAGATCATAATAGTTTCAGGTAGGGATAAGAATACTGGAGATCATAAGGGTTACAGGTAGGGATAAGAATACTGGAGATCATAAGGGTTACAGGTAGGGATAAGAATACTGGAGATCAAAATAGTACTAAATACCTTACTTCCAAAGTAAGAGGGGTGGCAACCTCCTCTATATTTCCCAGCGAGGGGGGGTGGGGGTGGTGCCACCTTTCAGCGAATAAAAAACGGAAAATTATTGGTCAAAAACATGGTAAAAATGTTATTTATTTGTCACAGAAATATTTTGAATTCTAGAATTTTATTTTAATCAAAGTGTTCATTACTTTTAATTATGAAATTGTTTCAGGAGTATAATAATTTCCACGGTGTTCTGGCGATTACATCCGCTCTCAATAGCTCGGCGGTTCATCGTCTGCTCTCAACCAAGGATAGGATTCCTGGAACATATCTCAAGGTGAATACTTCCATAATTTTACCATGTTTTACTGTTATCAATTTCGTTAATTTAAGTTTTTTTCCTTTTTTACATTTTCCCTCATTTTTGTGACACGAACCATTTCACGTCAAAAACTTTCTCTCAAATATTTATGCTGCAGAAGTAACGAAAGACAGAATTCAACACTTTTCACGCTAGTGGAAAAATGATATACATAAAATTGTTGATTAGTTAAAAGTTTACCGTTGTCTTACATGGCACTCTTTTAAACTCTATCTTGTTTAGGCTCTAGAGGATGCAACTAGTCTGGTGGACGATCATTTTAAACTCTATCTTGAGAAACTCCGCTCAATTAATCCCCCCTGTGTTCCTTTCTTTGGTCATTATCAGACAAACATCCTTTTCCTAGAGGAGGGAAACCCGGATTTTCTTCACAACTCAGAACTCATCAACTTTTCGAAACGACGTAAGGTTGCTGAGATCATAAGTGAGATTCAACAGTATCAGAACCAACCCTATTGTCTCCAGGACTATCCTGACCTCAAGATCCGTCTGGAAAACCTGGACCCATTTCCAGGATTTCAGGAGAAGGAAATCACCGACTTTTTGTGGGAAAAATCCGTGGAAATCGAGCCACGAGCATCAGACACGATAAAGCGCAAAAACCCTGAACGACGATGGCCCGGTCTTTCTCTCAAATCCCCAGGAATAAAACCGAAAACGTTGCCAGGGAAAAATCCGCCAAACCCTTTGCCGAAGATATCGAGTGGGCACACGTCCCGGCACAGCAAGGACGAGTCACCTCTCAGTTCCCCAAACTTTGGTTCTCCTAGTCAAGTATTTAAACAGTCTCCAGTCTCCACTCCTGTTACACCCAGCGTACAAACTTCTCCTAGAGAGGAATTCGCCGGGTTCCGAGACGATCCCATCAAGATCTCAGTCATCCTTCCCTCAGGACCAACAGCGGCTCATTCAATTCCCCCAATGCCAGTTGGGAAACCGCCGCCCCTACCTCCAAAACCTCGACATGTTGGTGAAACGCCACCCCTCCCACCACGTGATTCCTCTCCTCCACCTCCTTTACCGCCCCGGCATCCACCGACCCGCTCTGTATCTGGTTATATCAGCGGCAAACCGCCGCTAGAAAGTCGTAATCCCTTAATTGAACCGGTTTTCCCGAAACGCAATTCAATTATGGACACTGCGTCCCAACCTCCGCTGATACCCCGAAGCCGGAACGGAATATCTGAACCCTTATCTCCGGCTCCTAAGTTAATGGACTCCAACACGTCCTCGTCCTCCTCCACTCCGACCAAACACCTCCCTCCTCCTATGGGGTTCGATCGAAGTTCTGCTCCTGGGTCCGCGTCCTGGGACCGTCCTTATGGTCCTATATCTACCGGGCCGGAGATGGGATCTCACTTTACCTTCGGCCATCATGTTCCGTCAGCTAGCAACCAAGGTAATTACAGCCAACTCATTAATAAGGATTATTTTTTACTTCTGATTGGTTAGATTTATAACGTAATTTCAAGTGATTATCCATTCAAAACGGCAATGCCCGATTCACAACTTTTATCTGATCAATAATGCGGAAGATATTGTCATTTTTCTAGGTATCTTAGTGTTTAATTCTGATAATTCCCATATGTCTTCCTTCATTTGAAATGCGCACGTCACTTGTAAATAATCAGTTTTCGAAATTACAAACATCGATATCTAATTCATACTTGATCAAGCTTTTAATGGTACCGCTGTGAATCGGACATTGTTATCTTTGCATGGAGGGTCACTTGAAATTGCGCTTACAGTTCCTTTAAGCAAAACCCAATCTAAAAAGGCTTCTGTTGAGTTGGGATATTTGTGGACTATATAGTTGAACCGTAAAAGAAAACTTAACTATTTTTTAATTTTCAGGTGGCGTGCAGCATTCACAATTTCCTGCAAATGTTTATATGCAACCTAGTGGACCCCTTCTACCCCTTCAAGGGGGCAGTGGCCCCCTTCTACCCCTTCAAGGGGGCGGTGGACCACTCCTTCCCCCTAGATCAAACTCCCACAAATCTCCACTCTTCCCACATAGTAGTGGGGGATCTCCCTTATACCAGGGGGGGCAGGGGCCATGTGCCCCCCCTCCACTCTTTCACCAGGGAGCAAGTGGGTCTCCCAGATGAACCAAAGTAAAATTTTTACCCTGAGATTAGCGACTCCATTATGATTTATACTCAATATGTTGCTTAGACCATTCATTGTCTAGCTATCAATACAATATTTTGAGGTCATGCTGTTCTAAAAATAGAAACTAAAAATATGAGATTAACCAGTTCATTATGTTTGTGCTCGGGTAACATCTATTTCTGTTTCATGTTACGGGATAGTTCCGGATATCATTGTCTTTTCTATCCGGGATACTTGGCTATCCTTGTATCGAGGATACTTGGCTATCCTTGTATCGAGGATACTTGGCTATCCTTGTATCCAGGATACTTGGCTATGCTTGTATACAGAATACTTGGCTATCCTTTTATCCAGGATACTTGGCAATCCTTGTATCCAGGATACCTGGCTATCCTTGTATCCAGGATACTTGGCTATCCTTGTATCCAGAATACTTGGCTATCCTTGTATCCAGGATACCTGGCAATCCTTGTATCCAGGATACCTGGCTATCCTTGTATCCAGGATACTTGGCTATCCTTGTATCCAGGTATCCTTGTATCCAGGATACTTGGCTATCCTTGTATCCAGAATACTTGGCTATCCTTGTATCCAGGATACCTGGCAATCCTTGTATCCAGGATACCTGGCTATCCTTGTATCCAGGATACCTGGCTATCCTTGTATCCAGGATACTTGGCTATCCTTGTATCCAGGATACTTGGCTATCCTTGTATCCAGGATACTTGGCAATCCTTGTATCCAGGATGCTAGGCTACCCTTGTATCCAGGATATCTGGCTATCCTTGTATCCAGGATACCTGGCTAACTTTGTATCCAGGTTATCTGGCTAACCTTGTATCCAGAATACCTGGCTATCCTTGTATTCAGAATACCTTGGTAACCTTAAATCCAAGATCCCTGGCTATCTTTGTATCCAGGAAACCTGGCAATCCTTATATCCAGGATGCTAGGCTACCCTTGTATCCAGGATACCTGGCTAACCTTGTATCCAGGATACCTCGCTATCCTTGTATCCAGGATACCTGGCTAACCTTGTATCCAGGATATCTGGCTATTCTTATATCCAGGATACCTGGCTATCCTTGTATCCAGGATACCTGGCCATCCTTGTATCCAGGATACCTGGCTATTATTGTATCCAGGATACCTGGCTATCCTTGTATCCAGGATACCTGGCTATCCTTATATCTAGGATACCTGGCTTTCCTTGCATCCAGGATGCTAGGCTACCCTTGTATATTAGGATATCTGGCTATCCTGTATCCATGATACATGGCTATCCTGTATCAATAATATGGTTTGAAGGATGTATCCTGCCCTGGATGGAAACAAATATACAATTGTTTTCCCAATCTCGATAAAGGCATTTGCTCTGGGGTTCCATTACAAGCATAATATTCGCGTATTAATAAACTTATTTTTATTCATTTTTATCGTTAAATTTTGCATTTTCTAAACGTCGAAGACCTAGCAGTTGATACATACATTCCGACTTGAATTTAGGTTTATCATGATACAAGAGTGTTTAATGTAGAATATTGTTGATAAATGTTATGTAGTTTAAAGTGACCCTTTGAATCCTTTATCTGAGAAACGATGACGCATAAATCCTTGCTTTCTTGAAAAATCAACCGCGAATCATTGAAGGCACTATTTCAAATAAAAAGAGTCAGTTTGAATTACGTTGATAGTTTATTTAAGCGTATGCTATATTTGGATCCAATAAGATTCGTGTTGCAACGAATCATTCATTCTAAATTCATGCAATGCTGAGAGTTTTAATACATTTTGAAAAAAACCCGGTCCTAAAGCAGAAAAATAATAAAATATTATAAAATTGTCTAACTAGCGGTTAAAGTGGATTATTGTTTACATATCAAGAATAATAGTTGAATGTTAAGTCTGTGTACTAGGATTAGAATTGTTTAGCAAAAATTTGTCATAGTCTAAAAATCAAGACTGGAGTGTCTCTCCCCTCCCCCCCTTCTATTCTTAAATTTCTGCATTTTATTTCCGTTTAATGCGTGGTATGTCCGATTCACAACTGTACCCTTTTAAACCGTTTAAACCTTCTTATCTCGATGTTAAGAACAATTAGTAAGTTATTGTATCTCTTCCATAGAGTAATAAAACGAAGAGGTGAAGCTTAGCTCAAGAACTTTTAGCTAATAAATTGAAAACCTACAAATTTGAAAATTGTCAAATGTTTGCAGTCAACATACTCGAATTCTCTTTAAATAAAGAAAGAAAATCTAAACATTGGTCAATTCCATAAAATCCACCTTTAGAAATACGATCGCTCTATAATAGACAGGTCGGTTGTGTACATCTGAGCTAAGCTTCACCTCTTCGTTTTATTACTCTATGATCTCTTCTGTATGTTCAACAAGTCACTACAAAAAAACTGCAGTTCAAAATGATCAAATCTGATATGGGAAAACAAGGATATCTCGGTCAATTTTTTAGCTAAAGTTTTTAGGATACCGTTGTTAACCGGGCCGGGCATGTAACACTTATTGAAGTCACGTTCACAGTCACTTCTAGATAATTTTTTTTTCATTTAACAAATTTGAAACTTTTTCTGACAAATATGAAGTTTGCTCCCTGGACTCTTGATTTTTATTTAGTCTGTGTTTAAACTTAAATGTGATACATTCATTTAATTAATAACTATATAAATTTTCAAAACTTAATTTCATTTAACCCAACCCCGACTGTTACGATATTCATATTTTTTATATAATAAAAATGTTCACATCAGAAGTACAAGGATTAAAAATGTTGAATTGATTTTTATTTTGGCCCGTTTTAAGTTGATATTTTTCTTTCTAAAATCTTCTTTTTTACATACAACAATTGTTATCAACCTTTGTTATTTCGTGTTTATAATTTTCTGATATAAATTAAAATTCTGATAATATAAAATATAAAAATGTATTTTTAATTATTTCTGATTTGAATCAATAAAAAGCAAGGATCCCGGAAACACGGTTAAATATTGAGTTAAAAGAAAAAAAAATTATCAATATGTTACCAATATATTTTAAAAATATATATATATAATTTTGGTTCACTAAGACTTAATATTAAAAATTATTTTTCTGATAAAATACCATGTGAAAGTAAGCTATATTGTACACTCTAAATCGTACATGTACAGTTTACTCAATGCTACCCACCAGGAATGCCATTATCAAAGCTGTACAACCATCGATTTTTTAAACCACCTTTTTTAAATGAAGGATTTGAAATTTGTTATGAGAAAGTTAAAAATCCATTGTTATATGCTGATTGTTGTTAAATGCTAATATGCAGATAAATGTATTTTGAAGTGTTCCTTGTTTAATTATTACAAACATGCATTCTATGTACATGGTAAACTGTATAGTTACAATATAAATGTGAACTAACCTGTATTTACTTTAGTTTTAATTATACGCCACACAAGGAGATGCACCCCCCCCCCCATATATTAAAAAATTGTGAAAAACATTTACTAACTGTGAATTCCGATGTTTCAGATTAAAGAATGCTCGGTACAGTATATTGTGTATGTGTAGTGTGTCTGAAGTAAACAACCGAATACATGGTTTCCTAAAAGGTAGGCCTGGAAATCCTGCGTAATATTCTAAGCTTTATCCTTGTTAATTAGTGAATAAGTTTATTTCTGACCCCCTCACCCCTTCAAAGACTTAATTTTTTTTCTTTTATTTAAATGTGATGAAAGTTATTCCTGTTTTGACAAAGCTCATTAGGCTAATTTCGGGGATCTACATATTTCCTTGTTTTCTACGTTTAGTTTTCGATAATTATTAGAATAAATTCTGCTCAATTACCATTTATCATTTTTTATTCAAATTTTGCTCACGCCTTCTTGGGTAACTCTCCTCTTCAAGCAGTAGCCTAGCATTTATAGGCTGGCAAGGCAAATGAAGAGTGGGGGTACAGAAAACTTTCCTGTTGACCTGGGTTCGATGCCCGAGATGCCCTCACACAAATAGTCCCACGTGATGGACTCTCCAAGGATACCTGTTTGGAGGGGAGTGTCTCTCCCCTCCCCCCCTTCTATTCTTAAATTTCTGCATTTTATTTCCGTTTAATGCGTGGTATGTCCAATCCCCATCTAAAAAGGCTTCTGTTGAGTTGGGATATTTGTGGACTATATAGTTGAACCGTAAAAGAAAACTTAACTATTTTTTAATTTTCAGGTGGCGTGATAAAGGGACTGCTCACGTAATTTCAGGAGCTGGACGTTCTTAAAGGGACTTTTCACGTAACTTTAGGATATGGACGTTCTTAAAGGGACTGTTCACGTAATTTCAGGAGCTGGACGTTCTTAAAGGGACTGTTCACGTATTTTCAGGACCTGGAAGCTCTTAAAGGGACTGTTCACGTAATTTCAGGATCTGGACGTTCTTAAAGGGACTTTTATGTAATTTCAGGAGCTGGAAGTTCTTAAACTTAAAGGGACTTTTTTACGTAATTTCAGGAGCTGGACGTTTTAAAAGGGACTGTTCACGTAATTTCAGGATCTGGACGTTCTTAAAGGGACTGTTCACGTAATTAAAGGGACTGTTCACGTAATTTCAGGTGACCCCAATTTAAAAGAGGGGCATGCCTGATTCACAACTTTACCGGTTAAACCTTAGTCTGATCAAGGATGATCGAAATAACGTTCATGATCTCCGACAAAATTGAATTATTTTTATTACAGTTCCTCTCCAAAAGTTAATTGCGGATTATGCTTCAGAAACAATGAAAAAATTGTCAGAATTCCACACGTTTTAATAAAGAAAACCAACGATGATTTCCTTAAATGAAAGTGTTAATGGTACCAGTGGGAATCAGAAATGCCACTTTTTAAATGGAGGTTTAGATGAAATTACTTTTATAGTTTAATGATATTTAATATTTGGCTAAAAAAATCTTATCCTTTTTGTTGCTGAAATGCCCTTTTTAAACTTCATTTTAGTTAGAATACAACCTTAAAACAATTTTCCTATTGTTATTGTTTTTCTAGCAAAACCTTACTTTTTGTTCTAGGCTTTGAACCTTCTGCATGCTATGAGAATAGGTCATGGTTACCGAGTTCTTGAAGATCAAACGCTCTATCAAAAATGCCTAAAGGTAAAAACTGTAAAAAAAAAGATTTAATGAACGTGAATGAGAAAAATTCACCAGTTGTATGCTTAATTATTAATTATTTATTAATTTATTAGTGTTGCAATGGAATCTACTAGTACTGAGATAACTCTACTCAGCAAAATATTTGCCAATAGTTCTACAGAAGAAACATTGCAGGAGTTGGAGACCGGTAAACATCAGGATAAGGAGGATATTGATTATTTTGAAGATCTAAATAATCTGGAAAATCTGGAGACCCTACGGAACCTACAGAATCTGGATGATTCAAATGATTTAGAAGATTTAGAAGATTTAGAAGATTTAGATGATTTAGAAGATTTAGAAGATTTAGAAGACTTGCCGATTAGACTTGATACTCTTCCAATTATTATCCTTCGACAAATATTCCAGGTATTGTTAGGAATTTTTTTATTTATTCCTTTTATTTCAAGTGTTTCCTAAATAGTGTCAATATATAGTATATACTGGTTATAGTATATCTGGTTTCAACATCAAAATATTATTTTCAATAGCAGATGTTGTCCCTCCCAGAGAATATCACTAGTCTTAAGTAATTTATGATTTGTTCTATTTGCACAATTATTCTTTAAAAAAAAAATTTATTCGCTTAAACGGGGAAATTAAACAGGGATGGAGGCGTGATTTTATGTGGTCTTGACGGGAAAATTGGACATCAAAAGGAATGTTTTTTTTTACTTTTTATCCATGTTTTTTGCATTTCTCCGATTAGCCGAATAAAACCAAAAACAACATTTCTAATAATTAACTTCAGGGGAAAATGCAAGAAAATATATGCTTTAAGCCTAAAGGGACTGTATGCGTAAGTTTAAGTGACCCTCCATTCAAAAATAACAATGCCCGATCTACGACGTTACCCTTGAAACCTTTATCTGATCAAAAACATGGTAGATACCCTTGGTTATTTGACTCGGCAAATGTCTTATTCTATAAAATGTGCGAGTCACTTTTGCAGAGTAACGGAAAATGAAATAAACAGATTAAAGAAACATGAAAATATAATTCATACTTGATCAGACCACGCCTTTAAGGGTACCGTTGTATAGCCATCTTTGCATGAAGGGTCACTTGAAATTACGCTTACAATCCCTTTACTAAATCTATTTCTATACCCATACCTTGTGTTTAGTTGTTGGGCCCCGAGGATATGTTTAACCTCGGTCTGGTGAACCACAGAACTCTGAATATCCTCCACACACTGTCCTCCTGGTCCTTCACGGAGCAGTACAGTCTCCAGAAGATTGCTGCAAACCTCAAGGTTATCCGGAGAATAGACCTATCCGTTCCTGACCCACAGGTATTTTAATTTGATAATTTTACAGACAAAAAGACGAAAAGTTAAATGGATTAAAATGGATAGGCTGGTTAGACCTGGTAGTTGAAAAGTGCAGTATTATAGAGATGATGGATTCATTGAGACTATGAGACGTTTTTACGGTGTACACTTGTTTAGCAAGAGCGCACATTTAATCTTTCAAATCCTCCTGGATTGTCCATGCTGAGGCCGAATTTAAAGAATTTGAGCCGCGGCTCAAATATGGTTGGTTTCACTCACTTAAAAATGTATTCAATTTATCAAGTTTTAAGCAGTCACTCAACTGAAACCGGTCTTTTGTGGATTTGAGACGCGGCTCAAATTCATTAAATTCGGACACTGAAGAGATGATTTTGAGAATCGGTTTTAGCCAGTATCTCTCTTTAAAAGACAATAATTTGCAAAGCTTCTTGTTCTGTTTACGAAAAATTAGTTCAGTTGTGTTGACAAAAAGCTCTGAACAATAGTTATATATATATATATATATATCATCGTCAAGGTCTAGGAAAAAATAACTGAACTATTGAGAAAAAGTATCAAATTGTGTAATTGAATCCAATTAAGAAAAGTATACAAAAGCCTTAAAAATCAATGAAAATTACATAAAAGACATGCGATCAAACAAATATTAATGTTGTTGTTGTTGTTTTTGTTTTGTTGATGTTGTTGGTTTTGTTTTGTTATTGTTGTTGTTGTTTTTGTTTTTCTATTTGTTATTGTTGTTTTTGTTGTTGTTGTTGTTGTTGTTGTTGTTGTTGTTGTTGTTGTTGTTGTTGTTGTTGTTGTTCTTTATGTTCCTGTTGTATTACTGTTTTTTTTTGTTTTTGTTATTGTTTTTGTTTATGTTCTTAAATCTGACGGTTTTAAAATGCCTGGCAATCTTTCGTTCCCATTTAAAGTCTTAAAGATTTCTCTATGTAATTATTGTAATTATTATTATTTTGTGATTATTTTATTTATTAATATTTCAAAATTTGATAATTATTTTAATTGTTATTGTTATTGTTAATTTTACTGTTATTGTTATATTTATAGTTATAGTTATTTTTATTGTTATAGTTATTGTTTTTGTTATTGTTATTGTTATTGTTATTGTTATTGTTATTGTTATTGTTATTGTTTTTGTTTTTGTTTTTGTTTTTGTTTTTGTTTTTGTTTTTGTTATTGTTATTGTTATTGTTATTGTTATTGTTTTTGTTTTTGTTATTGTTATTGTTATTGTTATTGTTATTGTTATTGTTATTATTATTGTTATTGATATTGTTATTGTTATTGTAGGGATTATATACCCTGGTGCGGTCTCACCCTGAGCTGACCTGTGTTCATCTGAACTATTGTCCTTATATTTCTGATAAAGAGCTAGATCTCCTTCTCTCTCTACCCCTACTCACGGAGCTGGAGGTATCTCATGCAGACAAGTATCTGACCGGGTCAGGATTAGGAATGAAGGAACCCAGAGCTCTGAGATATTTGGATCTATCAGGTTGTAATCTCATCACAGACTTTGGACTGGAGAGTATTCTAAACAAATGTAGAAAAGACTTGAAATCATTAAAGCTACGGGAGTGTATGAAACTTACTGATAAAGTTATTTCAAAACTGTCCAAGCTTTGTCCTGCTATATCTCTCCTTGATATCAGTCTGTGCAATCTGGTGACTGGAGAAGGTTTGGCTTCTCTGGCCTCTCTTGACCTTAATACATTAATACTTCAATCTTTAAACTTTCCGGTCATTCAACCTGGCATTCTCCGGATATCTAAACAATGCCGGAACCTAGAAACTATATATTTCTCTTGTTCTCTCGAGGTTTCTCCTGAGGATATATGCCACGTCCTCAGCTCCTGCTCCGCCCTCAAACATCTCTTCATGTCCTACTGTCGGTCCTCGGAGGCCAGCTCTCCTTGGAGGCTTGATCTCAACTCTCCTCTTCTCCGCTCCCTTGGGTTACGCGGGTGCAGCGGATTGGATGAAACGAGTATTCAATCCTTCTCCAATAAGCACAAACAGTTGGAGTTTCTGGACATATCCAGGGTTAATATCAATGATGATCAACTAATCCAGATCATGTCTTCCAATCCTGGATTAGAAATACTCAACTTGAGCGGATGTCAGAGTATCACGGATAAGAGTATTCTTTGTGTCCCTAAGCTAGTCCCTAAACTAGGAGAGATTAACCTAAAGGGAACCAGGACATCTAATCATGGTATTCTAACTCTCCGCTCTGCTAGGTTTATCAGAGTTATTAAATGTGATCATCTGTTGGCAGAAACTAGACAAATTCTACTAAATGAATGTCCAAGAATTCAGAGAATAGAATCATTTTTTCACGCTGAGATGTTTTAAGAGAGCTTTTATCTTATTATCTTATGGAAAATTATATATATTTTCTTTTGACATTTTTATCTGTATTGTAAAATCCTTGAAAGCATATTTTAAAGGGACTGGTAAGCGTTATTTCAATTGACCCTCCATGCAAAGATGGCGTTGTCCGATTCACAATGGTTCCCATGAAAGCTTCGTCCGATAAAGTATGAATAAGATATGAATGTTTATAATTCTGCAAATGGTTTATTTTCAATCGGGGATTCTCTACAAAAGTGACTTGCGCATTTATACAGCAGTAAAACATTGTCAGAAATGAAGACTGTCAACCCTCCATATTTTTGGTTAGATTTCCATCTTTGCATGGAGGGTTGACTTCTAATATTTTGCTTACAGTTCCTTTAAGTCAGATAATATCGGACTTTGTTTTATTTTTTTTTTTTTTTTTTTTTTTATTACATGGTTACGTTTACCGCAATACAATTGAGTTTATCTAGTCGTCTTCAGCGTTAATATTTTTTCTGATTTAAAATTGAGTTTATCTAGTCGTCTTCCGCGTTAATATTTTTTCTGATTTAAAATTGAGTTTATCTAGTCGTCTTCCGCGTTAATATTTTTTCTGATTTAAATGAGTTTATCTAGTCGTCTTCCGCGTTAATATTTTTTCTGATTTAAAATTGAGTTTATCTAGTCGTCTTCCGCGTTAATATTTTTTCTGATTTAAAATTGAGTTTATCTAGTCGTCTTCCGCGTTAATATTTTTTCTGATTTAAAGATGGAATTTCCCACTATTGAAAACGGTTCCCTTTAAACCTTCATGTGATAAATAATATGGAAAAGAAATCGTTTTTCAAGGTTTTAAAGTGTTTATATTCTGATAATTTCCTTTGTAGATAAATCAAAAGTGAAAAAAATCATTTATTTTAATTATTAAAATTGATGTATTCTAATTCATGCTTGATCAGACAAAGCTTTTTAGGGTACCGTTGTAAATCGGACATTGTCATCTTTTAATGGAGGGTCAATTGAAATAACTCTTACAGTCCCTTTAATTAACATTAACTAAATTAAAGTTATGTCTCTAGAAGTCATTGTTAGTTTTTAACTAAACGACGTAGTTATCAAAATTTGATTTGTTTTAAATCAAAATTCTACAATTAGGATCAAAATTAGAACTTGGTTATTTAATCAAATAAAATTATTCAAAGTATTCATTTATTGTGGTATTAATGTTGGGAAAGAAAGTGTTCATAAATGTTCATATTCAAACATAATAAATTTTATTAATGTGCCATTAAATCATTTTATTCATTTCCTGGAATAGTAATTGTTTTCTTATGCAAAGACTGTTCTAGTCACGAATCTTTAGTTTTTTAAAAATTAGAAAATAAATAAATGTCAATATTTTTATCCAAGTCTTCCAGATATAAAATGGTTAAAATGGAGTTGAAATGAGAAGTAACGCCAAGGTGAGAGCTTGAGTGTGATATGAAAGACTAATTTAAATACTTTACCCTTTAAACTGAGTGACCGGCTGGACATCTGATATTGAACAACATTCCTTTGTAAATAGTTGGAGTTGGACAACATAAATACGTTTTTAGATAAGCATGAAAATTTTTGCATTACACAAAAAACAGATTTTATAAATGGAAAAAAATCGAAATTCTAACTTTTTTTTTTCAAAACTTTCACGGGCACTTCAGCTTTTAAGAAATATCAGCGCCATTTTCTTGCTTGCTTGTTCATGAGAAATTCAGGAGTTTACTAATTTAGGATTTTAAGAATGTTAACTGACAAGGCACCAGAGCTGGGAAATTTAGAATGGTGGATATCGGGATTAATGCTTAATCCACTCTTTTTCTTAATCTCGAGAATAAACATTGCTTGTTCTCCTCTCATTAATTATCCGATCAGGATTAAGGATATCCCATTATAAAGTTTTCAGCTCTGATTAGTTATTGTTAACAGCTTTATGTCATTTTTTTAGTGAACAATCTTTTCCAAATGACCTTTCATTTAATAATTTAATAATGGCAATTCTAGATTTTTAGGATTTAGTTTCTTTTAACTGTTTATTTTCATTTTCGGTTTCTTAAGTGAAGAGACTTGGCATTTCTTGTTTTTAAGAGATGGAGAAAATCACAGAAATAATCACATAACGAGTCAGAAAAACAATGATATCTTCCACATTTTTGATCAGATTAGGTTTCAAGGGTACTGTTGTAAATCGGGCATTGCCATTTTTGCATGGAAGGTCACTTAAAATTACGCTTACAGTCCCTTTAATAGTTTCTGATGGCCTCCAGTTAATCTTATGCTTTCTCTTGCCCTTGGTTACAGTTAGCATATGGACTAAATACACTTCAGTAATTTACACACACTGTTATATTCAATACTTTGGTGGGTTTCTTAAAGGCGACTCTGCCTTGATCCATGTTTGATGGGTTATTATTATTTTAAAGATAGTGATGAAAAATTGTGGGTTAAAGTTTGACTTTATATCCAGAAACTGAAAATTAATTTAAAGTTTGCTCATAATCGGTGGCCGTTTATTAGGAAAATGGTATTTAGAAAATATATTAACAACTTGCATGAACTAATTGCGTAGGGTTTACGGCAAAGTTATATATAAGTACTTTATATATTTTTCTTATTTGAAGAGGTACTCTACGTTTACCTTGTAATAGCACCATTACGGCACTGTCGACTCTATCTGATTTTAAAGTTACAAACTGTTAGAACCAGAAAACTGAAATATATTTATAGAAAGACCACAAATAAATAATTATGTGTATTTGATGTTTAACAACGTACTTATTACTTCACTTATTACGTGTAATGGGTCTGTTTACTGCACAATTAATGTGTCATGTTCATTGGACTATTTAAAGTCATGACACGAGTCTTAAAGTCGTCTTCCTGTTCGTGAGTTTTATGGTTCTCACTGTTATACCAAACCAATTAACATTATATAAGGGGGGGGGGAGAAGGCAATAAAATAGATTGTGAACAATTACAAATGCTGGAATTTTCCTTGGCAGGGTCGGAATGCTGTGCGTATGTTCCAGTCCTTGTTTTTTTTACTATAAATTAATTTCTGGCGAGGGAAGGAACCCCTCGGACGCCATGAGCCTCCGCTATGCAGACACATGCCTCCCAGATTTTCTTGGCGGACCGAGCCTCTCCCTTGCAGTAAGAGTCTCCGCTATGCAGTAAACAAGCCGCTGCTTAACAGATGAAAGATCTGAATATAAATCAATTATTAAAAATAGTGACTAATTATATATTAATTAGAAAAGTGGTAAATAAAACTTGAAACATGTCTTACGCAAAAAGGAAAACATTTAGAGATAAAATTCTGAAAGTAATTTTATTGGATATTTTATAATCATTTGCTTTAACCGATACCTTTTTTGGGAAATTTTTATCAGATTAATATAATCAAAAATTTTACATTGACAAATAATCTGAATCATTAAAAAATTCCAAAAACTGGCATTGCTTAAATCAACGATTAAAACAAAACAAAAATTAAGTTTAATTCAGAAATGAATTTCTAAATAGCCTCCTTACCGGCCGCGTAAGAAATGGTTTACTTTATGAGTCAATATAAGTTACAAACCATGACAATCAATGAACAACATTAAAATTAAGTAAATTTCTTGCACCACTTTGTAGAAAAAAATTCTATATTTCATGTAAAAACCAAGAGTTATTAGGAAGCTGTGCTGTATAACGGAGGCTCGTTTACTGCATAGTGGAGGCTCTTACTGCATGGCGGAGGCTCGGTCTGTCCAGCAAATCTGGGAGGCTCGGTCTGTTTAGCAAATCTTGTAGGCTCGTGTCTGAATGTCGGAGGCTCATGGCGTCTGGTGTTTCCCTTTTCAGTGAAATGTACTAAAGTTCTATCTTACCCTTGATGTATTACACCACTAAGCTTGAATATAACGGTCATCAAACTATTTTTGAACTGTGAAAGCGGCTTAGTTACTAACCTTTAAGAAGAATTTGATCAGAGGGGGGTGGGTGGGTCTTGGAACATTGTTTACCATCTGCCTTTTAGCCAAATATAAACCTTTATAGTCAAATGCTGTTAATAGGTCCAAACTTAATTTTTTAAAAATATATTCTTCCAGTTTTTTGTTTATTTATACTCTTTATTATAATTTTCATCTGATTGCGGCATTGATCATATATTAAATAATAATTGAGATGTTATAATAATTGTCTCTAAGTATGTTTTTAAGTTTGGAGAATAAGTGGTATGTTTTCTTTTCTAAGTTTTAATTAGATATGAATTGTACAAGAAACTATGTAAGTTTTAATAAGATATGAATTGTACAAGAAACTATGTAAGTTTTAATAAGATATGAATTGAACAAGAAACTATGTAAGCTTTAATAAGATATGAATTGTACAAGAAACTATGTAGGTTTTGTATCGCTTCAAATATTACAAGTTTTTACTTATTAAGGAGAAGAGCTAACCTAAGTGGTAAGATGAAATGAGACCCTGATGACTGATGAGTAATATATGTACAATGCACATGAAACGTACATTGTACACCGTATTTGCACTGTGCAGCATGATTAAGTAGAATACAAGATGAATTCCCTTCTTCACTCTCTTCTAGTGGCATGTCAGGTTATACATTATTTGCGAATAATCGGTGAACCAGCTTAATTCAAATTTAAAAATCTTTTTCAAAACTTGTAATCGTTAGGTCTGATTCTTGTAGAATAAAAAGGATTTTGGAAAAAAAAATTTAAAATTTTCTCGATGGAGGGATTCTTTTGAAGAAACTTTTGTTTCCTCAATATTAGCTTTCAGAAGACGGAGTTTAATATTCATTTTGGTAGTTTTCAAGGTCAGTCTCGTGATTTTTTAACACAACTATTGTTTCCTCCAAATGTCCATTTATGCTTTTATTAAATCATTATCAACCCATTTTTCTATTTATCTTATCCATTTATCCAGCTATCCAATCCATTCAATCATATCTATCTATCCACTTATCTAAGCCATCTTATCTATTTATTCATCTATCTAAGTAATTTATCCATCTATCCATTCCATTTTTCCATTTAATCATTTAATCACTTTCTCATTTCATTACCCCTTAATCCATATATTCATTAATTCTTTCATTTAATCGTCTATCAAATCAATTTATCCAACTATCCAATACATTTAACCATCCAATCCCTCTCCGAATCCTTTCATTTCTTCGTGTATCCATCACATCAATCCAGGCATCCATTTCTCCATCTATCTCCATTTTGGTAATAAAATATTTGTTGGTTTTACCCCCCAACATAATGGTTGATATAATTAATATTATTATTATTATCGTTCAACCTGAAGGCTATTTTACATTTGTGTTTTAGTGAATCATGTCCGACCGTGAATTTTTTAGGATTCAGTGTGGAAGCCAGAGATATAAGTTGTGGATATAATTATCTATTTAGGAGGGGGACAAAGAGAAGGTTAAAGAAATTCTTAACTCTGGAGAGGTTGGGGTCAATGCCTCGGACGAGTCTGGGATCACAGCTGCTCAGGTCATATAAATAAAACAAAAATGGGATTTGTAAGGGATTACTTGCCTCAAGGCTCAACCTTGAATTTTATAATTCCTGATCTTTGCAATCTGATGTCGAAGACTTTTAATATGAAATCTTATTGGTCAAATAGTCAAAGTTTGAAATAGTTAAGGTTTACACCAAACAGGTTGTAAATTTAAAAAAAATAGGAAATTGGAGTTTGTGGCCCTTAATCTTTTTTTAAAAAAAGTTTATCTATGGCCACAAAAAGTTAAATCTTTTTTATTTTTAAACAAATTTATTTTTATTTTCGTTAGAATAATTGGTTTTAACAGGATTTACATGTATAATTCACATTGGTTTTAGATTAGGGAAAATTAGGGAAAAATGGTTTATAAATATGTATGAACCATAATAATATAGCAATTTACATAGTTAATAAGATTCTAGAACAAAACGTTGGTTTTTAGGATTTAACATTGACATTCGAAAACTATTCTTTTTCCTAAGTTTAAATAAGTCTGGTTTTGGTTTATAACATTTCTTCTGCAGTAAATTTGCAGGAACAAAGAATAGAAACATTTATCAAGGTTGGATTAAAGATATTTACAATTTATAAGTTTTTTCCATGTGTAGAAATAAAGTTTAATTTCTCAGTATTTGACAAAGATGCTCGTAGCGCATATCAGAATAAATCTGCTTTGTGTACATTTCAAAGAAAACATAGGGAAGACATCGATTGTTAAAGATGCTAAAAGAAGCTAGTTGCGCTTGTCACAACTATTGTGCCAGGTCTAGGGAGTGTTGAATTACTTGATTACTTTCTACCGACGACGACCTGACCTCTGGACTGTGCGGGCCACTCCAGCTATCCTCAACATGCTCCTACCTGGATCACCACACTAGTAACCAAGAGTAAAACTGCTCTGTGAACATGGCCTAGATATGGGGTAATATCGGTCATGATCGATTGGTTAGACATTATTCTGAAATAAATCACTTTAATATTGTAATATTTTGTTTTAAACGATCAATAATTTTGAAAGTAGTCAACTTAGTGACTCACCGTGTAAATTATCTCGTTGGTCTTTTTCCAAAATTATTGTTTTTCGGTCTATATCGATTGATCTAACTGCTGGGAAGTTTATCGAGTCGATAATGCTATAGCTGTAGTTAGTGAAGGACCGGTATATCCAGCGTCCATCATTATATTAAAAAAATTTAATTATTTAAAAGACAGAAGCGCAATTCTCTTATAGATGTTTAGTTCGAAAAGTTAAATCTTCTAAATAAATTCAGTAAAAACAATTCAAAGAAATATTCCCTGCTCACTGCTGAGGTGACAGAAGTAAAACAAAAAGAAGGTTTTAACATGAAGTTACCAAAAGTTTATTTCACCATGTGACAACTTTCAACACTAAATATGTTCTTTTTTGTGTTTTTCCGAAAGATCATTTATTCCGCCGCCTAGGGATTTTAAAATAATATTTTCTGTATGTTCAGGTAGCAGCTGCCAACGATGATGTAGAAATTCTGAAGATTCTTCGAGAACATCATTGTAATCTAAACCAAGAAAATTCAGTGGGTTGGACACCACTGCATCAGGTACAAACATTACTGTACATATCAAACTGTACAGTTTACAGTTCACACTTATCAATATGTAATGAACAGTGTACACTTATGTACATTATCTGTAAATTGTAAGCTTTGCAGTGTACACTATCTAAGTCGTACATAATGTACACCTCAACACTTTAAATTGTACATTTTAGCCAGCTGTCTGAACACTGTAAATGTATATCTGACAATTTACATTTGACATTGTACAGTGTACACTAACAAATATGTCCTTGCCAGTCGGATCGCTTCAAGTACGAAGGTGCTAGAGCGTCGGGAAATCCGTCGGTCGCAGCGTGCAATTTAAACTGCCCTTAATTACACTTACATTCCCTTTAAATAGGCTGTATTAAAAGTGTAAACCATTAATAATTCTTTGAAAAAGATCACTTCACTTTAAAAAATTAACTTAAATTGTTTAGTTTATTAAAGCAGTTTTTCTATTAAAAGAATGAACCAGGTGCAGTTTAAATTGTTTGAATGGGACTGATGGGACCTTGCATTTAAGAAACCTAATAAAAAGTTATGTAACATCACAAAATCAATAACAGTGTTTAAAGGACGTTGCCATAAGGGAAAACTTGAAATATTATTGTAAAAAATTTTAGGACTTTTTTTGAAGAAAAAAATTCAATTAATTACAATATTTATAGTTTAAACTGCTACCTATTATTTAGGCGTGCTGGCACGGTCACACTGGCACAGTCCAGTTTCTGTTAGACCAAGGAGTCGATACTAGTAAAAGGAAACCGGTTTTTTTTATTTAAAATAAAAATTAAAAACAATTCTTCACGTTAAAAAATGGAAATTACAGTTCTTTCAATGCATTAAATCAGGATACCCGGACCTATGATAAAAACTGCGATTAAGATTGATAATAACTTTGTAACAAAAAAAACGGTTTGGCAGAAATAAATTTGGATCTGATGCTTTGACTATAGCTGCAGGATCAGGACATGTATCCACTGTTCGTCTGCTCCTGGAGTCCGGAGTTAAACCAGAAGATCCTCTGCCCTCTGAGCACCGAACCTGTCCTAGTCCCGGGATGAGTGCTGCGTTGCATGGTAGAGACGGCGTGCTAAGGATTTTATTAAACCGCGGCATGCGCCCGGATGCTATGGCGGTTCCGTCAAGATGGACGCCACTCATGTTTGCAGCTGCAGGTACACTGTACAGGGTAAACCACAAAGGTTGAGAGTTCAGAGACGACTGTAAGAAATTTATTCTGTCTATTTCCATATATTCATGTTTTCTTGTAACTGTTAACTTCTTTCTTTCTTTTCTATCTTATTAAATAAACAAATCAAAGGTTATATTCAAGGCAGAAGATCGTCAAATTTCAGAAGTTTCAAGTCGTCTTTAAAGTCTCATCGTTTGTGGGTAACCCTATAGCTGGAAGACCTACCCATTTATTAGAATTGAATTTTCCTACAATCATTTTTAAAGCATTTGATAAAACAGAGACCGAATTTAATGAATTTGAACTGCCTACCACCGGTTCTAATTTGCATCACCGATATAAATCCTTTTTGAATCTTTAACTTTAAATCGGTGGTTCAAATAGGTTGTTCAGCCTCGCAGCTCAAATTTATTAAATTTTGTCTCAGTACAGAAGTTAGAAAATTATATAAATTTGGAAATATTAACTTTTGTTGAGGTGGAAGTAAAGCAGCGTGTCAACTTCTGCTTGAGCGGTCAGCTGATCCTAACAAGCTAAACCTACTCGGAGCAACAGCTCTAGATATTGCTTCAGGAGCAGGTAGGTAGTATGGGTTGGATAATGGATATATCACCAAGTAGATAGGGTAGGTTGGATAATGGATATATCAGCAAGTAGATAGGGTAGGTTGGATAATGGATATATCAGCAAGTAAATAGGGTAGGTTGGATACTGGATATATCACCAAGTAGATAGGGTAGGTTGGATAATGGATATATCATCAGGTAGATAGGGTAGGTTGGATAATGGACATATCAGCAAGTAGATAGGGTAGGTTGGATAATGGATATATCACCAAGTAGATAGGGTAGGTTGGATAAAGGATATATCAGCAAGTAGATAGAGTAGGTTGGATAATGGATATATCAGAAAGTATATAGGGTAGGTTGGATAATGGATATATCAGCAAGTAGATAGGGTAGGTTGGATAATGGATATATCAGCAAGTAGATAGTGTAGGTTGGATAATGGATATATCAGCAAGTAAATAGGGTAGGTTGGATACTGGATATATCAGCAAGTAGATAGGGTAGGTTGGATAATGGATATATCAGCAAGTGGATATGTCAGTATTTGCTGGTTCAAATAGATCTATCCATCTATCTAGATTTTCTTATTTTAATTTGCTAGGTTCGCAAACATGTATAATTTGTTAAGGGTAATGGGGATAACAAAGTCTAAAAATATTGTTTTTTAATTCCACTGGGCTACGCTAGGCACTAGATAGCTATATTTAAAATTGGATTTTGTAATAAATATTAATATCTTTGCAAAGAAATGGAGATTAATGAGTACATGGGCTTTTCTTAAATTAATACATTGTCATAGATTATGATCACAAAAATATTATTTAGATAAAAACAATTTCATCAAATAATTGGAATTTAATTTATTATTATTTATCAACTCTATTATTTAGGAAACACTGATATCCGTGTATATCTTGAGACTAAAACCATGCATCAAACCAGGAGAGTTCAGGCCGAAGATCAGGATATGGACCTAATCCAGGCAGCCAGGTACTAGTCCTAAACTAGACATTAGACAGTACTATACTCAACTAGACATTAGACAGTACTTTAATAAACTAGACATTAGACAGTACTATACTCAACTAAACACTAGACAGTACTATACTAAACTAGACATTAGACAGTACTATACTAAACTAGACATTAGACAGTACTATGCTAAACTAGACATTAGACAGTACTATACTAAACTAGACATTAAACAGTACTATACTAAACTAGACATTAGACAGTACTATACTCAACTAGACATTAGACAGTACTATACTAAACTTGACATTAGACAGTACTTTACTCAACTAGACATTAGACAGTACTATAATCAACTAGACACTAGACAGTACTATACTCAACTAGACACTAGACAGTACTATACTCAACTAAACATTAGACAGTACTATACTCAACTAGACATTAGACAGTACTATACTAAACTAGACATTAGACAGTACTATACTAAACTAGACATTAGACAGTACTATACTAAACTAGACATTAGACAGTACTATACTAAACTAGGTCATTCACAAAACTTAAATAAAAGAAAGACGACCGGCTTTGGGGATTTCAACGACTTCTCACTTTAAAGCGATTATTCGCTTTTTTGAACATACAGTCGATCAGTCAATACAGTAGTTTTTAAGTAAATACTCCTCAGGTCCAGACTCCAGAATAATCAAATACTTGAAATACTTAATTCGATAAAAAGTTTTTTTCAAAATGATGATAGTAATGATAATGATGATAATGATGATAATGATGATAATGATGATAATGATGATAATGATGATAATGATGATAATGATGATAATGATGATAGTGATGATAGTGATGATAGTGATGATAGTGATGTTAATGATGGTAATGATGGTAATGATGAAAATGATGATAATGAGGATAATGAGGATAATGATGATAATGATGACAATGATGATAATGATGATAATGATGATAATGATGACAATGATGACAATGATGATAATGATGATAATGATGATAATGATGATAATGATGATAATGATGATAATGATATCAGAGAGGGTGATCTAGAGAAGGTAGAAGAGCTGCTGTCCAAGGAAGGAACCAATGTTGATATGCAAGATCAGGTCGGAAATTTAAAACAGATTCATTACTGTATCAATTAAATATACAGCTGTCCCTCTTTTCAACTCAATTCTGGAGAATCTGAACAGACAAGAACACCTTAACACCTTTTTCTGTAACTATGGATCTAAATGCAAATGTATAATCAGCTTTCTCGAAGAAAAGTTCTTAGAAGATTACAGTCACTGTCTGATTGTTTTACATCTGTAAAACAGTACGCAAATAAATTTACAATATTATTTTTATTCTATTGAGCCTTTTTTTTAGACGGGATGGGGGAGGATTTAATCAATAGTATTCGTATCTATTTAAAGAATCAAAATATATTTCAATTTTCTTAATTCTCACAAGTACTAAGTACAAGTATGAAGAACCTTTAAAAACGTATAAATTGAAACATGACATCAGTGCTTAGTTTTTACTGGAGATAATATTTTTTTCCAAATGTTTAAAATATTCTTCTTAATTTCTAAATATTGGATCCAGAGAAAAGTAAAAAATGTTACTATCATACAAATAGAACGATTAAGTGATATTTCTTAAAGGGACCGTTCACTTATTTGGGTAATTTCAGGGTAAACTAAACAGCATATTCGCTGTTGATTAGTAATAGTCTTACTTTTCAAAGACAACTGTGGCCGGAGAAAAAGCCGATTTTTCGTTCAGAATTCGAGCGCAAAGGGACGGTCCCTCTCTATAGACACTAATTGATGTTTTTTTCAGTATGTTGTGGATCAAAATAAATTTCGAATATAAAATTAAACTGTAGTATCTAATCGTTAATTGTAAATGTCATTATTTTTTATTTTTGTTGTTTTTTAACTTTCTATTTCTAAAATAACACAATTTTATCGCATTCAAAATTGTGTATTGCCTGTGTAAAAAGCTGAATTGAACGCGGCATGACAAATGAAAAGTTGTGCACATGCGGGAAAAAATTTACAAAATCTACGAACCTAAATATGAGTAATGATTAATTGATTGTCGTAGAGACGTCGTCTTTGTTTACACATTTTACATGTTTTAATGCGAAAAATGTAAATTTCTTGCTAACTCAAATATCAAAAGTTTTCATATTTAAGTACATAATAACGAACACATAATGACATTCAAATATAATAAATTTAAATGTTATTGGGCTGCTGTTACTGAAAAAAACATCAAATAGTGTCTATAGAGAGGGGCCGTCCCTTTCCGCTCAAATTCTGAACGAAAAATCGGCTTTTTCTCTGGCCACAGTTGTCTTTGAAAAGTAAGACTATTACCAATCAAGCGCGAATAGGCTGTTTAGTTTACCCTGAAATTACCCAAATAAGTGAACGGTCCCTTTAACGTTGCTCTTAAAACCTGTCACTGATCAATAATTTGAAGGATCTCGCATTTTTTCTAGCCTGAAAATTGTTTAACTCTGACTATTTCCTCCCTTTTTTCTGTAACAGGAATGCGTAAGTCACTTAAAAGAGAAACGATAATTGAAAATAGTGAATTTTCTCTTTAATAATGTTTAAATATTCATTATAAATGACTTGAGTAATTACTATTTGAAAAGGTTTATATTGTAGGAAGGAGCTACACCGTTGATTTTAGCAGCGGTTGGAGGTTTTCTCAGTATAACTCAGCTTTTAATAGGTCAGATTCAAATTTATCATGTTTAGATACAGGGTGTCCCACGAAACTTGTCGTAGAAAGACCATTTTTGTTGTATTCTTTCGTCAATCTACTTTTATATGTACAGTTTTTCAAACAATAATCACAAAATTCTTCTAGGCCTGGGATTTCCAAAATGTGGTCTTCCTTTTTGTGCTGATATTACCGGAGATAAACGAAATTGTTCAGATTTCAATTTATTAAATAAAATCAAAATTGTCAAAATTCAAATGTATCATACTAGGCTTTTAGGGCTGTATCTGTGCCCATTTTCTCTTTGTACAAAATAAAACAATAACAAAAAAGTTCGCGGACTTAAAAATATTTTTTGCGCATTTTAAAATTTTTCAAAAATTGAAAACTTTTTGTCGAAATCTAAACAAAATGCGTCAAATCTCCAGTAATATTGAAAGTGCAAAAAAGGCAAAAAAAAAAATATTGAAAGTGTAAGATTAGTAAGAGCTAAGTTTTATTTTAAAAAATCGGCGTTGGCCCAGTCTGCTTTACTATCTATCTGTTTTTTCTGTTTACATTAAAACTAGTTATTAGTCCGTACTAATACGTCACAGTACAACCGTTATTGTAAACTACAGTTGTAGGCGATTTTATCAGTACAATAATTATGTCAATACAATAAAGACGACTTTCGATTTCAATTTGATTTACATCAAGCTTGTTAACGGCATGAATATACATAAACATAGAGGTCAAGAGAAGCTGTCAATTAAAAAAAGCTTTTTTTATATTTCCTTGTGACCTTCTTATTTGAAAAAAAGCTTGTTAACAATCAAAACTTAAATAAAAAATTCGTCTACCGATGTACTCTAAATCGTCGCTTTTACCTTAGCAGTTTTTTATTTTATTTGTTTTAGGATTAGGAGCTAACTTGAACCATCAGGATAAAGTTAACGGTTGGACCGCTCTCATGCAGGTAAATAAGTCGGAGACAGATAAATGACTAGAGACAGATAAAATATTAGAGACAGATAACATTCTAGAGACAGACAAAATCCTAGAGACAGATAAAATTCCGGAGACAGATAAAATATTAGAGACAGATAACATTCTAGAGACAGGTAAAATCCTAGAGACAGATAAAATTCCGGAGACAGATAAAATTCCAGAGACAGATAAAATCCTAGAGACAGATAAAATTCCAGAGACAGATAAAATCCTAGAGACAGATAAAATTCCAGAGACAGATAAAATTCCGTAGACAGATAAAATTCCAGAGACAGATAGTATTCCGGAGACAGATAATAGACTTCAGACAGATAATAGACTAAAGATTAAATTTGAAACCAAAAAACATTTTATGTAAAAAAAGATAATTTGCAATTATGAATTTTTTAAATAATGTTTAAAAGACAATTATTTACATATCCGTTGAAATTTATTCCTGTCGTGAAGACTTAAATAAGAAAATGTTCATGAAGGAGGGATATTATCTAAAAGAGGGAACAAAGACTGTATTAAACCATGAGAAACATGTTTCAGGCGACCTTCTTCTCTCACATTGATGTAGTAAAAACCCTCCTGGAGTTTCAGGTAGGCTATTTTAATTAATAATAAATCCTATCATTTTAACCATTTTCTCCTTTTTTTACCTGTAAATGTTTAATTTAAAATTCGGTGAAGAGTAAATAAAGTAGATGCTAGTTCAACATTTTATTTAAAATATATTTCGGTTTGGGTTGACCCTCGTCAGTTCTAACGATTATGATAACCATCAAAATCGTTAATAAAGTATTAAGAACCACAAGAAAATAAACAAACAAACAAAGATTATTTTTTTAAATGGTCCGTCAAAGGTACTAAAGGTAAACGTACTCAGATCACTATATGGAAAAAAGATAATTTGCAAATGTTCACTGTTTAAAGACAATTATTATTCCGATTGAGGTAGTTTCTGTTATGAAGATAAAAACAAACTGTTCCGATGTGTATTAGTATAAAGTGGTGGTGGGGGTCGATCTAATTAATCAACTTTTTACG